CTTGAACCGATTAAGATATTTCTGGAGGGTTTCTCCGGGTTGCTGTCGTATCTTTCTGAGAGCGAACTCGGACTTCGGATGCTTTTTGCTAGTTGCAAAGTTCAAGAGGAACTTCTGTCCGAATTCTTCAAACGACCCGATGGAATTAGCAGGAAGGGTTGAAAACCATGCCTGCGCTGCTCCAGTCAGTGTTATGGAAAATATTCGGGATATGAGAGGTTTGTCAATTCCTCGGATGTACATATCCATGTCGAAAGCATCTATATGGACCTGCGGATCCTGGCTCCCATCGTACTTTGGCAGACGTGCCGAGTCAAAATCCTCCGGGAAGACAACGTTTAGTATTTCACCAGTAAAGGGGCTATTGTTGTACTGCCCCCTGCTGTACTTCCTCCTATACCCGCCGGTTTCTACCCGACCTCGGATATCTTGAGCGTTTTGTGCAGGAAGGATTCTAACTCGATCCTCCTGACCATTAACTTGCGCCTGATGGTTTTGAGCATTTTGGCCATTAACAGCCTGACGATTCGGGTTTGCAGCGTTCACAAGATTGGGCCTGTTATGATCTTCTGTATTGAGAACTCGGTTTGGGAGAACCATGTTCCAAGCTCCTTCACGGCCATTAACAAGTTGGTCGTCAGCTTCAGTTGCTCTTGGTCCAGTCAAGTGCGTTAAACGCTGCTCCAGATCTCGCATTCCTCTGTTATTCTCCTCTCGTATAGCCCTGAAATCCTGCTGCCGTTGCAAGTTATTACGGTTCTCCATCTCCGTTATTCGTTCCATGATTGCAGCGAACACGTTGTTAGCCAACCGAGTATCCGGATCAGCCGATTGAGCGCTACGCGCAGCCAGATCTCCAGGATGCTAGGAAGGGTTGGTTCTTGTTGGAGCCACGTTCGCCCCAGCCCCCTATCTTGACGCGCTGGAGTTGAAGCGGTATCTAAAGACATCGTCTTCGACCTGGACGTGGTCGTAATCCACGTTATTTCCAATCTGGTTCGGAGGCTGGTTTACCTCTTCCAGGACTGGATCCAATGGTTGATTCCGGTTTGGGGGTGGCTGCTGGCTACTGCTCCTCGTCTGAATTGCCATTCCTTCTCAGATTTGGTGGAAACTTCAAATTCAAAGAAGAAAGTCCCCCACAGACGGCGCCAATGTTCTGTTCTTGAGACAGAGATGTCTAGCCTAATAGGCTAGTATGTTAATCTTGGATCTGGTGCCCTCTCCAAGGTATCTATGGATGAGATACCCTTGAGTCAAGCAGATCACTGTGCACAAAATACTATAACGACGTTAGCCAATGGAGTGTGTGTGTGCGCACAGTGACAGCATAACAGTAAAAGAGAGAGTGTACATACCTTTAGGGTTTACCTTTGTATTTATAGAGGTTATCTGTAGGTAGTGTGGATGGGCCTTTGGTTCCTACGGTGAGGGTCCAGGCCTGGTAGCTATGCTGTCGCATTAGGATTAGTTTCCTTGATGGATATCTATCCTTTATTAGCATCAATCATATCTTGGATTGCCCCTTGTTGGGCTTGCTACTTAATGGGCCCATTATACGGGTCCATAACAAGTCCAAAACAATTTCGAACTAAGTTGTTAATTAATTTACTTTTCATTTTGAGTAAACATTATTTTCACATTTGAAAATTTTTTTAAATGAAAAAAATAAATAGTACCATATAATAATAAATAAGTTCTTATTTCTTTTATAAATGTTTTTTGAATTTGATATTTGTCATTTTAAATGACATAAATTGTGTCACTTTAAGAGAGAGATAGACACAAGGAATGAAAATCATGGAGAAAAAGTAGGTGGTTTTTTTTTATTTTAAATTTTAAATAAAAAGATATTATTTTGTGTCTATCTCTCTCTTAAAATGACATAACTTTATGTCATTTAAAATGACATAACTTTATGTCATTTAAAATGACAACACTTTTCTCGTATTTTTTTAACTTTATCAGTTTATACAAAAGAAAAAATATTTGTCATTTTAAAGTACAGTCATTTTAATCAAAATTATTATTACTTAATTTAAAAAAATCTCTCACTTTTTTCACCATGATTTCTATTGTGTAGTTGCTTTTTTACCATAAAAAACAGTAATTTTGACTAAAATTACACAATTCTATAACTTTTAAAAGAACAAACACCAACCCTTGTACAAAAGAAAAAAAATAAAACTTTTCAATCTAATCATATCTTTAATGACGAAATATCAACACTTTTTATGTCTTTCAAAAAGAGTATAAAAGGAAAAAAAAATATAATTATAATTAAAGACAGACAAAAATTGTTTACTTTTTTTCTTGTCACACTAACTCGAAATAAATTAAATAAATAAACTAACAAATACTTTGGCAATATAACTTCTAGAGACAGGAATTGGAAAAAAAAATTGTTGAGAGAGAAAAAAATGGTAGAAATGGAATTGGTTGATTGATTTTCAAGTTTGTATAAGTCCCACACGAAAATAATACGAGACTAATTCTATACGTTTATGATGTGGGACTTCCATTCTGGCAATAGGTGCATCTTAAGCACGTAGGACTTATTTTGTATGGTCATAGAATCATTCATATAAATTTGACACACTGATATTACAAAAAAAAAAAAAAAAAAAAATTGACACTATGTTCGCAAAATGAATTAAACCGACAATTTTGGGAAGATAAAAGATTGTTCACACGTTTATCGGAAAGGAGAAATCATTCACAAATAAAGGTGACAAAATGTATTATAATTGAAAAAAGTGTGTGTCATCTTAAAGAAGGTAAAGTTGTGTCATTTTAAAAGAGAGAAAAAGAAAGAGAGAGAGTTGACAAAAAAATAAAAATGTGGATCTCACTTCTTTGTGAGAAAGAAAGAATATAAATTGTGTCATTTAAAAAGATAAATATTTTTTCCATTATAATTTGAGACGCGACATGTAAAATACACGTTGTGTCATTCTTTGGTGTAAAATGAAACGTGACATCATGTCATGAGTTGATTAGTGTGATTTTTGAATTTTTTTTTTCAAAAAAGAAGAAGAAAGAAAGTTAAATTTTTTCCTATTTTGACACAATATGCTATAAGTCATAGATCAACTCCGTATTTTATTCAATTTTTTTATTTTAATTTTAATTTTTCATAAAGAAATTAAATTTTCAGTTTTCATATGTCAATCCGTATAACCCGAGATATGTGTCTGGGTTAATTTTTTACATTAAAAAAATTTGTCGTATTCAAATTGGATGATTTCACCGCGGGTCAAACCCTCACATGAGACAAACTCTACTGATCTACACATTATGCTACCTCTATTCACAAATAATAAGAAAAGTCGAGAGCAATATTTAAACCACTTGGAGTGGGTCCCACCTTAAGGACCAAAAAATGAACAAGAAAAAGAAAGGTCTGAGACACGAACAGCCAATTTGGAGCGTGTATATATAATAGAGGAATCATGCATATTGTTCCCTTTTTTCTGAGCTGTATTATTCATATCTCATAGAAGATTCATTTTGCACGACAACAATACTTTCTCACGTTTAATTCCTCATGAATTAATATATATTATTTCTAGAAGCTAAGTTATATTTATAATTTTTTATTTAAAATAAGTCTTAATTATTATTTTTTGTAAATTTGATAATTATAATTTATTATGAATTAATAATTAATTAATAAATATGATCCAACATATTATAATTATTAGATTAACAGAAATTAATAATAAATTAATTATACAAAATTATAAACAAAGAAATTATAAATATAATATATCTCTATTTCTAGATACTAAAATCCAAATCTATAACCCCGTATAAATTAGGCAAGCCCGGCCCCTCGCCCGTCGCCACTGCCAACACTTAACGACTTGTCAAGTATATATTTTATCTGCATTTCAATTCATGGAAGCCAATTATTGCGTAATTATTGTCTCAGTTGAATTAACAATTGCTATAAAATTGCGACACCTAAGCTAACTGCATGTGATTGTTTAGAACCCCTTCCTTTTTGTCCTTTTACAAGCTGTTCCCACCTTTATTATAAAAAAAATATTATTCACCTTTCACATGAAATATCATCTCTCATTTTTTTTTTTTTTGATTTTCGTACTTCACTTTTTTTTCTTTTTTTTTTTATAATAGTGGAACCCACCTATTTTCTCTCTATAACATAAGATAACTATCTTATGTTAAATGAGACTAATAAAACCTTGTTATAAAAAACAATACAAATAACATAAAGAATAGAAGGTTATATATCCTTCAAGTCATTACTCTAGCATTTTTTTTTTTTGATAACACATTTTTTTTTTCAGGATTGTAATTCTTACAGGTCAATCTTAACTTCCCTTTTATTCATTACTTACCACTGCTGTATTAAAGAAAGAATTAAACTAATGATAGTTGAGTTGACATCAAAGAATTAAACGGGTGAAGATTAAAACATATATTCGATCTTTTTCATTATTATTTTTGAAAGAGATTTAAAATTTTAATTCTGAAATCGATTCTTAATCGAATTAATTACAAAGCTATAAATTAATTGAAATATCTAAAAGAAAAATAAAGAATTAGACCCAAAACATTTATTAAGTTTAACCTCATTAGGTGAATCAGTCATCTTCCAAGCTGTCCCCACCTTCTTATGGTAATGAATTTCAAACCTGCTCCCCATTTCAATATCAGTTACGCTCTCCTTTTCAAATTGCTCTGTCATTCATTGTACAAAGTCCTCTTTCACATTATAGACTAAGGGAGCGTTTGGTATAGGAGAAATTTTTATTTGTCCGGGAATTTCGATTTTCAAAAATATGATTTTTGCTTTGTATTCAATTTATGATAATATCTGAAAATTTAAAATTTAGAAAAATTTAGTTTCCCGAGAATCCCTCAAAATTCCGTGTACCAAACACCCCCTGATAGTCATCACTCATCACAACTTTTGTTGCTCTCTCTCTCTCTCTATTTTTTCCACCCTCTGTGCCTCTTTTTCTTCCTTCTCCATGTTCTTCAGAAAGCCATCACCAACTCCACCATGGAAAACAAAATCAGAAAGCTTCTCAAAATCCAAAGACACCCACAACAACAACAATCACTTCACCTTCATCACCAATAACCAATTAAGGTACACTCTCTTTGCATGTCTCTTCTTCGCTTCATGGTTCCTCATACTTCACTTCTTGTCCCCACTCACCACCACCACCACCACCACCCCCACTACCACCATCACCACCCTACAAAAAAACACCAAAACCGCCGCCACATGCGATGGATCAGGACCATTCTACATCTACACCCTTCCCCAACGATTCAACCTCGGACTCCTCAAACACTGTCAAAACCTCAACATCTACACAAACATGTGCCCCTATGTAGCCAACAACGGCCTCGGTCAACCTATCTCCGCCGTCACAACCACCACCACCACCGCATGGTACGCCACGCACCAATTCATAGCCGAGATGATAATCCACGCAAGGCTAGAGAACCACCCGTGTCGCACGTGGGATCCCAACAAAGCACTTTTGTTTTATATACCCTTCTACGGTGGGCTCCACGCTTCAAGCATGTTCCGCGAGGCCAATCACACACTCCGCGATTCACTGGCCGTTGATCTAATCTCCTTCATCAAAACTCAAACGTTCTTTAACAGACACAACGGAAACGACCATTTCCTTGCCCTGGGGAGAACCGCATGGGATTTCATGAGAAAAGAAAGTGGGCCCGACTTCGGAGCCAACATCCTCCTAAACCTGCCACCTGTCAAAAACATGTCGGTGTTAACAGTGGAGAGACAACCTTGGAACGGGTCAAACCAAATAGGTGTCCCTTACCCTTCTTACTTTCACCCAACCACGGTCACCGACATGGTGACGTGGCAAAACAAAGTGAGAGAAGCGAAGAGACCTCACTTGTTTTCGTTTGTTGGCGGGAAGCGCAAGGGGTTAGAGAAAGCGAAGATTCGAGACGAGATAGTGAAACAGTGTGGTGAGTCAACTCAGTGCGAGTTGGTAGAATGTGGTGGTAATGGGAATGGAGGTAGCAAGTGTTATAATCCAATGGCGGTGCTTGATGTGATGATGAAATCTAGGTTTTGCCTTCAAGCACCGGGTGACTCGTTCACGAGAAGGTCAACGTTTGACTCGGTGTTGGCTGGTTGCATACCTGTGTTCTTCTCGCCACACACAGCTTATATGCAATACGCGTGGTATTTGCCGCAAGAGGCGCGTGAGTATTCGGTTTATATTGATGAGAAGGAAAGTGGTGTTGCGGGGAAGAGGATTATTGAGGATGTGTTAATGAATGTTTCGAGTGAGGAAGTTAAGAGAATGCGTGAGGTTGTTATAAACTTGATTCCGAGGATTACCTATGCACACCCCAATGCGAGTGGTGGTGGTGGTGATGTTGGGTTTAAGGATGCTGTTGATGTTGCACTCCATGGACTCTCTCTGCTCGTTCGGGATAAAATTCAGAGCTCCGGAAGCGCTGAGATTTAATTGACGAAAAAATTCTCAATTCAATTTGTCATATAAGTATAATAATAAAAACATTATATTAATTATATAGTTGTGGTTTAGTGTTTAATGTTACTTATATTTGAACATTTTTTAATTCAATGTTGATGTATGGAATTATTGTCTTGGTTAAGGAGAGATTTTGAGACATTATTGAATTCTATTTTAATAGTTTTTTTTTTTTTTAGCTAACTCAACTTTATTTACTTTATGCGTCAAGAATGGTCGGGATAGCTCAGCTGGTAGAGCAGAGGACTGAAAGGCAAGTTGACTATCCCGATATTCACTAATCAATTATTCTTAAATAATTAATTCACTTATCATTATTCATTATTCTTCCATCTTCAATAATTAATTCACTATTAACCACTAACGTTACTATTGATGTTAGTAATAATTCACCATCGTACACCATTATGAATGCGCCATTGAATCACTATTAACTCATTTGTCCTATCCGTAATTATATGGTTTTGTATGTTACATATCTAATATCTTTCTCACATAATAATATAATATCCGTAATTTTCACTTAATATCCTCTCCTCTTTTTCTTCAATAAAACCAAATATTCACATCTCCAGATGAATATGAGACCAGAAATTATATAAAATTGGCAATCATTATCTTTAAAGTAATTAGTGGGTGTTCCGTAGTTGATTAATTATAAAAAAATAATATTTTTTGATAAATAATATATCAAAAATTAAAAATAATAATGATCTGTTTAATATAAAATAATTTAAACACGCTATGGGTCCAAGAGAATGAATACCCTATTCCATATTAGCCTAGCCAGGCCCAATTTAATTGCCTTACGATGAATAATAATTGTTTATATCTTTATTGCATGCAGCATCGAACTATAGTGTTCCCTGGGAACTTCCGAAATGTATTCATCGGGCTCGGCATTGAAGGTAAAACGCTGCTATATAAATCACTTAAATTAAGAGGATAACTTAGTCAGCAGACCCCAAAATTGAAAAAATAATAATAATGGACTAACGTAAATTTTTTGGGAGAATGAAGCTATGATTAATTAATTATTTAATGAAGCATTTTTTTTTCATAATTAATAATGAACTTGAAAATGACAATAAACGATTTGTTAATATATTGTTTTATCCCTTTTTTTAATACGTTTTATCACTTTAATTAATTGTTCAACTATAGAAAAATAAAGAGAATTGGAGAAACTAGCGAATAATGTCTCGAAGCACATGCATAAGCAATAATAGAAATGTTGTACCCATGTCTACCAAAAAAAAAAAAAAAATGTTGTACCCATTGTTGTTGGTGGGAAATATGCTGTGATTAACTGATCATCATTGAAAGAATAATGCATTCTTATACAACCATAAATAATTATTAAAATAATATAAGAAGATGCGCAATTAATAGTTGACATACGAAATTCTAAAGACAACTAAGGCAATCAATGTGCCATATACACTTGATTATTGAAAGTTTTATGGCTAATTAGAGATTCAGCGGAAGCACCTTATATATAAGGACACGCCATTAGTCTTGTTTTTTGGCACGAAGCTATACGGACTTACGGAGTGATGAAACTCTTTTTAAATACAGAAAATTGAATATGAGATTCTAGATGCAATGCATCAAATCATGAATGTAAGATATTGTGCTTCCAACATTTTTTTATTAAGATAATAAAGTGGTAAGATTAGATATCTTAATTACATTTTAGGTTTGGGAGTTAATTACCAATATAGAAGGTGTAACATCCTATGTCATCCAGTTTAAGATTAGTTACTTACTAGTATTATTTTTAAAACTGATTAAATTAGTTATTTACTTTTATAAAAATTAGTATTTTAGTTTTTATATGTCCCATTTTATCTTGCAGATTATCAAGAGTGATAATAGACTATGACAAAGAATGGGAAGCTAAATAGTTATTTGTTTTGAAAAAAATATAAATCGACAACATATTAAGCTTGAAGAATATGATGATAAAAATTATTTTTTGAAAAAGTAAATTTTTTTTTTACAAAAATGAATGGTTTTCTCGCCCGAAAGAAAAGAGAGAGGAAAAATGTAACATCTTCTATAACTGGTTAGTATAGAGGATATCACATTACTTCTTAAATCTTATTTTAAAGAATATAAGATGCTAAAGCAGCGGATATATAAAGAAGACATATGATAAAATTAGCACTATTAAAATTTAATTATACATTAGACAGAAGTCGAATTCACTATTAAATATGAAATAAACTAGATTACATCATCATCTAATCTGAAAGAAGACATTTCTACTCTATCGGGGGTAGGAAACTAAAGTCACTCCACAGGTACACAATATCACTCTGAAGTCTTTAATCATGGTGCTTCATCCTACTCCGACATACATACTGGCACTCTTATTTTCTGAAAATGTTAGCATAAACATAAACACAAGTGAGACAAATATCAGTAATATTAGGGTTTTTGAACTATAATCAGTCCAACCATTTTAACAAAAAATATCTTTATCTCATAACATGTTTATAACAAGAAAATAATAACATAAATAACAAACATAAGCCTAGACCTTTGTGAGTTTCTGTATACAAGCATAGAAAAGAATGTGTAGTCTTTAACTAAAACTACTAAAACCCAAACATTTGTGGGTTTCGGTATGAGAAAGGTTCTGTTTGGCGGAGCTCAAGCCAAGTAAGGCATCCTTTACCTTCTTACTGTCTGATTCCAAACTTTTATGGGTCAGTTCACATCAGAATCATTTAGTTAAAGATTATATATTCCATTAGTATTCATTTCGTACCAAAGGAATTCCTTTAGTTCTATAATCTTGATTTAACATCATTTTTATAATTAATAAGAGCATATCCATCAAATTCACAAAACCAAAGATAGCAGATAAACTAAAAGAATAGAAGAAATTCATAAGAAAATAGTTTTCCAGAGTAACGATACCTTCTCAACTTTTTTAAATAATTACTTCAAAATATCAACTTTAAATATAAAATAGATGAAAAAGATAAAAATAAAAGAATGAGGTTCTCTTCCAAAATTACCTTCCTCTTTTATTTTCCCTACTTCCATATTCTTTCAATCGTTCTTTCTCCTTCCTTTTCCTTTTTATCCTTTCTTCTCATTGTCTCTCTCCTTTCTCCCTCAGTTTCTTCCTTTCTTCTTTTTCTACGTTAAGAGGGGTTTCTATATATATATATATATATATATATATATATATATATATATATGGTTTGTCATATGACTGGATATAAGGTTTTGTGTAGTCACACATTTTTTAACTATGTATTACGGGTAGTACATAGTTATAATATTAAAGTTATTTTTTAACTATGTACTACGAGTAGTACATAGTTATAATATTAGTGTCATTTTACAATCTATTCTTTAATATTATAATTATGTACTACCTGTAGTACATAGTTTAAACAAAAGTTAATATTATAACTATGTACTACCCGCAGAACATAGTTAAAAATTATGTGACTGGACAAAACCTTGTATTAAGTGACATCCATTTAATATATATATATATATATATATATATATATATATATATATATATATATATATATATATATATATATATATATATATATAAGTCAGGTGGCTAAAAAAATATCTGATTAAACTTATGAAAATCTAATCACTACATCTAATTATATTTTAACAAAACTACTAAAATCTAACAAAAATATAACTAAGTAATAATCACCTAGATGAAAAAATCATGTATCATTATCTCTTTATCTATTTGGCTTGCACTTCCACGTGGTCTTGTTTATTTATTTTTATGCTACTATTATTATTGTATATATATATATATATATATATATATATATATATATATATATATATATATTATTTTTTTCTCGCTACTGGCGCCCTTTTCTTTTTATAATACGGCGCTAGATGCGCCAACTAATTACACAACACCATCTTTATACATAGCACGCTCCAAGCGCCACCTTAAGACACAACAAGCGCCAAACTACTTTAATTGCACGGCGTTTGTAGCGCCAACTCATGATACATAATGGTGCTTCAAGCGTCACACTATTCATCATTTTTTAATTCTTTTTTAATTTTTTTAATTTGAATATTACAAAAAAATAACAAAGAAAAAATATTTTAGAACAAATTTCAAAAAATATTATTTATTTAAAAAGAGTGAGAAAATACTGCTTAAATCCATCATCATCACAATTTTGATATCAGGCAAAATTGTTCATGTTTATTATTTATTATTTTATAAAATATTATTTTCTTTTTGTAAATTAGACCATGCTAGCACACTTGACAACATCTAATATTAATAGCCTCAAGGGTACAAGAGTTTAGTTAATTGATACTTTAATTCTCTCTCAATTTTTGCATCATTAGCTATATTTTGAAATTTCATTATAATGATCCTACACTGTAAATTATAAATTTATGAATTGTTAAGAAATAATAATAATTAATAAATAATTAATTAGAAGAGAATTCCAATTAGATGAATTAAAGTCACCTTGTGAAAACAAGTTAAAAATGACAATTAAAGGGTAAAAATGCGGGTAGGCAAAATAACCCAAAAATTAAAAGTAGTAAATATTACCATAAAAGTATTTTAGGTCAATATGTCAAGTTTGAAAGAGAGTTAAGTGAGCGAGATAGATGAGTTGATACCCACTTGATGAGTTTGAACTCACTTATACACTTAAGACATTCTCATTTTTCCTTATTCTCTTTCTTTCTTCCCGCGACTGCCTCCCTCTCCACTGAAGAAGAGTTCTTCTTCCTCCTCACATTGTGCTTCACCTTCATCTTCTAAAAGAAGAGAGATTACACTCAAATCCTCATATACACCTCATTTCCTTACCTCTTTCAATTGGTAGTATGTTTGTGAGAAAAACCATTTTCAGATTTGGAGCTAGACTGAGGAGTAATTCGTGATTGGTGGCTTAGGAGACCTTCCAACAATTGTGGGAAGCTTCTAGGTAAGAGAA